CTATTTATTTATTTGAGAGAGAGAGAGCACAGGAGCTGGGTTGGGGTGGGCGGCAGAAGCAGACACTCCTCCGAGCAGGGAGCCTGGACGGATGCAGGGCTCGATCCCAGGACCCTGAGATCAGGACTTGAGCCAAAGGCAGATGCTTAACCTGCTGAGCCACCCAGGCGCCCCAGGTTTTGATTGCTTTTTAACTCAAAATAGTCTTCATGCCAAAGTGGCCCATTTTGGGGCAGCCTGCCATTGGCCTCTACATCCTGAAAGCCAACAACGTCCCTCATCTCGTGACTGTCACCCCTGACTGGCTCCTTTCTCTCCTTCATGCCTCTCTGTAGAACCTGTGGAGGGCTTGGTCCGGGTTTACCTGCGCTGCTCTGCTGGTCTAACTGGTCTCCCCACCCCAGTTTTACAGCTTCTGTTCTGTTTCACTGATGCTGGGATGGTCTGTGGTCTCCCACCATCCTTCAGGGGTTGCCACCACCTACGGAGCACAGACGATTCTCTATGATCAGCTCTAACTCCAGGGCCTGTGTGCGCATGCGCCGGGGTTCCTGGCTTTCCCCGCCCCGCTCAGCACCTTTAAGGGTCCTGACTGCGGGCGGCATACCTTGCCCTGTGCCTCTGTTTGCACTTCTCTATTTCTTGGATGTCGTCTCCTCCCTTTCCCTCCATCCAGACTGCTGCTGCTTAAAGGCTCAGATCCATGCGCACCTCCTCTAGAGAGCCTCTGCCAGCCCAGGAATCAACCACTTCTTTTTCTGCCTCCCCTCTCTGCCAATACTGAATATTTATCAGCCATGCGCCCTAAACACTGTATTGTACTTACTTGTTTACACTTGTCTTTCAACTACACAGAGAGCTCCTTGGGGGGAGGGGTCATGTTTTATTCATTTTTTTAATTCCTAGCTTGTAAAACAGAGCTTGGCACACATTCTTATGTCCTCAAAAAAGGTGGGGAGGAAGGGGAGGATGGTTTGTATGAATGACTGTGAATGCTTTTAAACTGTAAATTGATATACAAGTGTACGTTATTGTGGTATCAGTGGCGTCCCACTGTAACACATGGCATTTGGAGGGCAGGTTTGGGGATAAACCGATGACTATGTTCTAGAAGAGGTGGAGGGGTTGGAGAAACAAGAAAAAATGCTTCCTTCAAAATAAAGACCAAAGAAAAAAGTCTTACATAGGAGTTATATCAAAGAGCTTGGAATCTGAAAGCGCTAAAAAGAGAAAAACCAACCAGAAAGAGTAAACTATAAAACCACTAGGTCGAACTTTGAAATGTGAGCAAGAGGATTTAGGAATGGAATTTTTTTGTCTCTTACAAAGGACTCTACACAAGGGTGGGGGGGTGCGGGAAAGAGTCGAAGGGACGTAAAGTAGTATTTCTTTCCCTCTTGTGGTTTATCTTCATTATGTCAAACAGGTTATAATTTTAAAACGTTTTAAATGTTATTTTAGAGGAAGAAGGGAAACGGGGGCGGGGACATTAATTCTATAGGCATCTTAGAGAAATAAGGTGAACTACCAAGAACATTGAATTTGAGTTTAAATCCGAATTTGAATTCTGTCCATTTCTCCATCATCTCTGCGGGAGGGCTGCCTAGACCAGCGCTTCTCTATCTGTGGTGAGGGACAGGGATGTGTGTGCATGTGTGTGTTGCGTGCATTTTCTGTCAGTCACATGCCGACACTTTTGGAAAACACAATAAAAAGTGAATTGCTAGAAAAAGAAAATAGAAGAAATCGGACAGGCAAGATACAAGCCCAAATTGATCATTAGAGTCAACAGATCTCATTCTGTCAAAAGACTGTAAGTTTCCATGCACTTACTCTCAGTTTCTGCACTGAATTCATTGTAGTTCGGTAACACTTTGCAAACTGGCTCCTTTTCCATTTGCCACACTTTAAATGGCACCAGGTCAGTCTTCAGTTGGATGTTTTCAATAAGACATTACAGGCAATGACAAAGTTAATGTGAGGAGAACACCCATGCACAAATCTTGCAATCTTAAGGAGATCCTAAGGACATGAATTGATTAGAAAATAAATAGACAGAATTTAAAATGGCATAATAGGCATTTTTTTTCCACCAGTGGAAAGCTCTTTCTTGTGCGTATCTCCCCGCCTCATCCCTCTCCCAGTTGAGTGAACTCTTTGATCTTCTTGGCGAATAATTGTTTTCAATGCAAATGTTTTAAATTGATCCTTCATTGTTAACTGTAGGGTAGCCATAGATGCTGACATCAAGCCAATAAAATTAATAAGCAGTGTGACAGGCTCTAATAAATTTCATGGGTGTCTTTACTCTGTCATTTGAGCAGAGACCCAACTGTTATTATCACTGAGCTTCGAACCTCTCATTTTGGCTGGAGATGATTATAGCTGCTAATGCCGTGCATGCTACAGTAGTTCTCCGTAACTAGTTTAGGGTTAAAGTATCATATTTAAAAGACTTAATTATGATCAGTGGGGGGAACAGTTGTGGCCATAGGACTTTGATCTGTTTTCTAGAGTGGCCTACAAAAATTTGGACTCCTAACGATCCGTTTTCTCAACAATTTCGGAAAACAAGCGGCTTTTAAAACCTAGTTTCCCTACCACGGACTGGGGGGTTTTGAAACTCTTTCATTTGGAGAGGGGCCATTATTTGTTGGAAGTGGGCCACGGTTCTTTGTCTCTAACCCCAGCTGAAGTTCTTCAAGCCCCTTAACTCAGTCTTTCCCTCACATGAAGAATTTAGTATCAGGTTTCTGCAAATGAGCAAGCTCTTCACTTGAAGTGAGAAAAAGGGTTGTTCGGTTTCTCATTTAAACCCCATGGCAGCCCGCAAGGTGAATTTGGCATGCGTACGTCATCTCTGTCCTGCCCTTTATCCTGCTATTTGGTGTGGCTCATGCCTATCCATATCCTTCTGGTTAAGTTCACGCCCATCTGGAACCTTTTACTGCCTTAACTTTGCATATGATGTGTCCTTTTAAAATCTTGATCAAAGTATAAACAGCTATCAAATATAAGTGTTCAAGGCAAGTTAAATATTAGCCCATCTTTTTGTACCATGTGTAATTTTATGTAAATATCAATGACTACATTTATGTTTTTGAGAAAGTATAGGTTAGGTTGACATGTTATTCAAAAGGCATTCATTTCACTTCTGGTTTTCTTGAGCATTTTTTATTTAGGCATTAACTCTGTATCCTATGCAGGTACTCAAGCTCCTTCTAATTGTTCCATTTATAAAAGTCCTTACTTTTATAGTAAGGACACAAGGCTATGTCTTGCTATTGTGGGTTTGGGGTGCTGGTTACACTTACACCTCATGAATTTAACTTCTTAACTGAGATGACCACTGTCTTAAGAAGAAAAGATGTTCCCACAAAGCTTGTTAAAAGAGAATAAAGGGGGCACTCCTGCGTGGCTCAGTCGGTTAAGCATCTGCCTTCAGCTCAGGTCATGATCCCAGGGTCCTGGGATCGAGCCCCGCATCGGGCTCCCTGCTCAGAGACGAGTCTGCTTCTCCCTCTCCCTCTGCCGCTCCCCCTGCTTGTGATCTCTCTCTCGCTTGCTCGCTCTCTCTCTGACAAATACATAAAATCATTTAAAAAAATAAAAGAAAAAGGGTTTATAAACGTTGGTTCGTGCATGCCAGTGATTTCAGTGTTAAAGAACCAGGATGGTGAGTTATGGGATGCAGTCTGTGAAACGTGCTCCCGAGAACGGTAATGGTGAGGCCCTGCCTGTGTTTCCTTTGAGGGCATAAAGAGCATGAGAGAATGAATGTGGCTTATTAAAATGGAGAAGGAAGAATTATCTGATGGTTTTTACATTTCATCTCTCCTTTGGCTGGTTGCACCTAAGTGCTATTGTGTTTGCGATGGAACACTGGAATGTGGCTGTAGCCTGGGATTTTCACAGGGTCTGTTCCTCCCCCGGGCTGCACGACGCCATGTGACATTTGGTCGAGGGCCATAGTACATTGTGCAGTCCGGAGCAGGGGATTGTATTTATTTTTTATTTTACGTTATTTCAGCTGTTTTCACTTTTTTCTTTATTGTTTTCTAGTCTCCTACTGAGTTCTTTTTTCAAGCATTGCTGGGGAAGGGGGAACACTCTGTTATGAACTCTCACACCCAGGGTGGAAAACAGCTTTCTCTCAGCAGCTCGAAGCTTCCAAGCCATGGACATTTAACCCACTGTGGATCTGAGCCCACATTAGCTCGGCTTGGGAGCTGTTGCTGTGTTAAAAGATATAAAATCATTTCAAAGTTTTCCATGGCTCATTAACATAGCCTACTAGATAGCATAAGTGAGTTATGTGCGTATTAAAATAAAAAGAGGCTTTTTTTCTATAAAATGGTGTTTGAGGAAGAATTTGGTTCTGCATTTTAACAACTGATAGCTTCCTGATTTCAAGATTATGTTTAAACAACGCTCTCTTTCCCCAGTTTATTGAGATATAATTCACATAGAACATTGTATTAGTTTAAGATGTACAACATAATGACTTGATGCATGTGTATATTGTGAAATGATCACCACAATGAGTGTAGTTAACAGCCATTACCACACACAGTTACAAATTCTTTTTCTTGTGATGAGAAATTTTAAGGTCTGTATTTCTGGCTTTCCGCTAAATGAATTTGAGTATCTTTTTATCACATAAATCAGTCAAGGAAGCAGAAGATGATGTTGTTATGCCAAAAATCTGACATTATGAGAAACTATGGTCGTTATATTATCCATCTAGGGAAGCTCTAATACATTTGGGGGTTATATAGCCTAATGTATACCATACTCCTCCTCCTTGCTCCAACTCCCCATTCTATAAATTGGTGAGTATTGTCAACATTAATAAAAGTGACACTCTGTATTCCATAGTACAGTTAATGAGCACATTAGTATAATAATTGCTTGAAATTGATATGAGAGATTCATCTTGCATAAAAAAGATGACTTGGAGGACAGGAGTGTTTAACACATCCTTCTCGTTGATTTCCCAGGATTACCTTGACTGCATCAGGGACCAAACAAAACTTCCTCTGGGGACAGAAGAAAGATCAGCCCTCTTTGGAAACATACAGGATATCTACCACTTCAACAGGTAAGTTCATACTCAAAAGATCATTCTCACCTAGGACTATGACTTTCTCTCAGATGAATGCCACCTAAGAGAACTTTACCTGTAATCCTTGATTCAACTTCCTACATTTCTGTGTGCTATCATGCCATGAAGTCTTCTACCCAGAAGCATCCTTGTCCTAGAAGGGTCTCACATTTATTTTATATTCCATCCAAATCCATCTTCCTGGCTCAGAGAAGAGACCTGTCTTCCCTGACAGAGCAGTGACATCATTCTTCTACAACACAACATGAACAGGGCATCCAAAAATGCATGCATGCTTCGTCTGTGGCACCCCCACCTCCACTGAATTTTCTAGAAACTTTCTTCTGCCTAGGGAGTGGGCAGGACACAGTAAACACACAAGTACTTTAAGTCATAGCGTACTGATCCAAATTAATTAATAATTTAAATGATGTAACTCAAACATACGTTAAGTACCTACTATGTAAAAGACACTGGGCTTAGGAAATTTGCTGAAGGGGCTGGGACAAGCAAATCGGTTGTGAAACTTCTGCCAGGCAGTAGGCAAGTTAGGAGCAGACTCTCATTTCCCACATGCCTGGGTTTGCATCCCAGCTGAGCCATGTAGAGATCCTTGGGTGAGTCTTGAAATGGAGTGGAAGAACTAACTCCTTCCCTATAAGTCTGTGCTCATATCTCCCTTTCTCAATGAAGCTTGCCGGACACCCACAGAACACCTCACCGGCTCTGCCTTTTCTTTCTGGCATTTATCAAATTCTGTCACGCACCCTATGACCGACTTCTGGTTTACATCGGTTCTTTCTTTCCTCGCCACCCCCACTCATGGACACTCCCCGAGGCCTGGGGCCTGTTTTGTTACGGTCCAGGTGCCTGAACAGTGCCTGGCCCGGGACCCCTGGGTGGCTCAGTCAGTTAAGCAGCTGTCTTCGGCCCGGGTCATGATCCCAGGGTCCTGGGATTAAGTCCCACATCAGGCTCCTTGCTCAGCAGGGAGCCTGCTTCTCCCTCTCTCTCCCTCTGCTTGTGCTCTCTCAGATAAATAAAAATCTTAAAAAAAAAAAAAAAAAACCCAGTGCCTGGCCCATCAGAGGCATGCAAGCTTTTGTGGAATGAATGAGTAGAAATAATAAGAATATCTATCTCCATGGTTATTGTGAAGCTTCAGTGCGCTCAAACACTGAAAGTGCCTACCTTGCTCAATACCAGCCCAGAGAAAGCATCAAAATATCAACCAGTGATGATGTTGATTTTGTTAGAGTAAAATCCCATTATAAAATTCTACAGTGCCTTGTCATTGTGTGACTCAACCATAGTGCCATTTATAAATCTTATCCCTCTTTGCTTAGTGAAATTGGTGTAAGTGACACCTTGGGGGAAGGATCCACATCTCCTTTGGTACCTTCGAATCCCTAACATGTAGCACAAGCCTGACCTCTGGGAGATCTGTGTATAGACTTGCATCAATGCCTCCTTTCATATTGAAAGCCTAGGATGTAAAAACTGCCCGTGTTGTAACATCTCCCGGATTTGACTCAGGAGACTTTGGAAACTGATCAGCATGTTCCAAGACTGTAATTCTGGACCTGAACTACACTACTAGAATCACCTGGGAAGATTTTTTTTTTTTATATAATATGATGGATCCCACCCCCAGAAAATATAATGAATTGGTTTGGGGTTAGGCCAGGGCATCAGAAGTTTTTAAAAGGTCCTCAGATGTTTGTAATGTATAGCTGTGGCTGGGAAACACTGTCTACATAAAATAGACACAATAATAAGAAAATAGAGAAAGGTCATAAAGAAATTGAATTAGGCTGGGGCGCCTCGGTGGCTCATTCGGTTAGGCATCCAACTCTTGATTTCAGCTCAGGTCATGATCACAGGGTCATGAGATCGAGCCCTGCCTCTGGCTTCTTTTTTTTTTTTTTAAGATATTTTTTATTTATTTATTTGACAGAGAGATAGCACAAGTAGGCAGAGTGGCAGACAGAGGGAGAGGGAGAAGCAGGCTCTCTGCTGAGCAGGAGCCCAATGCGGGGCTTCATCCCAGGACCCTGGGATCATGACCTGAGCTGAAGGCAGCCAGCCGCCTAACCGACTGAGCCACGCAGGGGCCCCTTTGCCTCTGGCTCCTTGATGGGCATAGAGTCTGCTTAAGATTCCTTCCTTCCCTCACCCCTTCCCCCTCCCCATCGATCATGCATGCTCACGCTCTCAAAAAAAAAAAAAAAAAAAAAAAAGGGAATTTAGAGTTCTACATGTTCCTTGGTATTAAAACAGGCTCCCATTTAGCAGCCGCTGATGGTAAAATCCCATGAATCCCCGAGTGGCTTCTCCTTCCAGAGGCTACCAGTGGCCCTGTAACTCAGGGAGAGGGTTGAGGCATATATGTGGGGAGGCCCCTGGCCTAAGCCTCTGGTGGTTTGGCTGTAAGTTGATGGTAATGACTATTTGTCTCCTGCTTAGTTCATGCCAGAGGCCATAGAGCTTTATGTGCATTATCACTTTATATGCCTCATCTGGGCTTCTCTGACCCCAAGCCCCAGGCATTTAACCACATTCCCTCTTGCCAGAGTGGAGCCCTGCTTTTCAGGCCATGGTTTGGGACATGGTAGCATAGTCCAGAAGGGCTTTTTTTTTTTTTTTTACTCCCTGGAGTTTAAATTTTCCTGTGTCTCCTAATTTAAAGAAAGATAAGAATGACGTCGCCCCCTAGGTCAACAAGAAGGGACTTTGGTGGTAGAGCCCGTTCTGCAAAAGTTGGAAGACTGAGAAGACCTTTGTATTCCTGAACCGGTTCTCAGTTCTTTTGTCTTTGGTGTTCTCTGAGCAAGGAAGTCAGACCCGTCAGCCTGAGTCAGAGTGAATGAGTACCCGGATGATGATGTGTTAGGGATCCATGCGGTGACACAATGTGCACACAATGAACATCACGTATTTATGCCTGTCCCTTTTGTAGATCCCAGTTATCTATCCCTGGCACATGCATGATCTCCTGTAATCCTCTTAACAGCTCTGGGAGGCAGAGAGAATGCATATTATATGCACATCTTATAGATGAATCAGGAGTGCGGTATGGAAAGTCCTTTGCTCAAGGACATAGAACTAGGCATCCGGTCTAGCCTGTTTTGAATACCTGGTTTTGTCACGTTTCTTTGGTATTCCTATTATTTTATTCTATTATTTTCTTTTTTTTAATTTTATTTATTTGAGAGAGTAAGACAGACAGGGAGAGAGAGAGCACGAGCCGGGTGAGGGGCAGAGGGAGAGGGAGAAGCAGACTCCCCGGCTGAGCAGGGAAGCCCAAGGTGGGGTTCGATCCCAGGACCCTGGGATCACGACCTGAGCTGAAGGCAGATGCTTAACCAACTGAGCCACCCAGGCGCCCCTCATTATTATTTTCAAGAGTATCTGCTTGCTGGGGGCGCCACCTTGGGCTTCCCTGCTCAGCCAGGGAGTCTGCTTCTCCCTCTCCCTCTGCCCCTCACCCGGCTCGTGCTCTCTCTCACTTGCTCTCTCTCAAATAAATAAAATCTTTAAAAAAGGTAGAATAATTCTATAAAAAAAAAGCATCTGCTTGTTTAACTTTTACAGCTGAGTCATCTATACGATTGTGTCCCTATTTGTTTTTATTTCCTTCCCCTTAGATCTGGAGTCTACATTTAGAGCTCAAATGTCTTTGCTGTTATATTTGCTTAAGAAGTATTGATGTGACTTTTTTTGTTAATGCCTCTTATGAATCTTTTATTATATACCCTACATCAGTTGATTTCAAAGGTCTGACTCTCTGGCAAACCTATGGTTGGGGCTTGAACTAATTTTAAAGTTTCTATTATTTCAGATCCAGGTTTTTCAACATAATATTATATTATTGTGACCAACTAAGCAAGATTTAAATCTCTAAAATTAAAGAGGGGAAAAAGAAATGGTTTTGTGCTGACCTAAAAAAACTCTGCTGACTAGATTGTGTTTTCAGGGTATATTTCCAAAGTACAGAAAAGTAGCATGATAAGTACCCATGAACCCTATCCCCACTCTATCAAAGCCTTTTCTTGTGTCATATTTACTTTAGAAATTCTTTAAAGCATAAAGACATTACAAATACTGTTGAAGCCCCTTATGTATTCCTCCCAGTTGCATCTCACTCTGTGGAGAGTGACACAGTAATGTGCTGGTAAACCAGTTCTCCGGCATTAGGACAAGAGAGGGAGATTCTGGGATTTATATTGTTTGCCACTTTCTGTGGTGTAAACCCTCCATCACAGCAGATTTCAAGCTACCAGCAAGACATCACTGAACATGGAATTAGGAAGAGGTACACAGAATTGGCTCAGGCAAGCCAGTATAATCCGGTTCAGTGTACCCCCAGAACTGGAACTACTGCGATCCAAGACTTGGTGTTTCACTCCCAACTATGATTTTGTTCCATGACTATATATGTAAGCTTTTATTTGAAATATGTAACATGCATTCACTTATTTCAAACATGGCATAAAGTGTGCCAACCTTTCACAAAATTTTTTTCTCTCAACATTGTTTTTGAGATTGATACCTCTCCTTTGTTTAACTGTGATGTAATATTCCATTGGGGGATACATTACTTTGCATTTTGCCAATTACAATTAAGACCGAGAATCTTTTCTTGTTTGTTGGCCACTTAGATTTTTGTGTGTGTGAATTTCTGCCTTCTATTCACTGCCCATTTTTCTGTCAGGATGTTTCTTTTTCTTATTGCCGTGTAGGCATTCCTGATGAATTTTGGCTAGTGATCTTTGTGGATTATTTGAGTTGCAAACCATCTCCTACTATAAGACTTGTCTTTTCACTTTAATTACGGTTTCTTTGAAAAGAAATCATATAATTTATAAGTTTGGCCACACCAAATATAAATGTACATTTTATAACATAGATTTTGCGTTGTGTCTAAAAAATTATAGGGGCGCCTGGGTGCACAGTTCGTGAAGTGTCTGCCTTCGGCTCAGGTCATAATCCTAGGG